TTGCGGAATCATGTATAATATTTATGGAATATGCAAAGTCGTTTATATTTATAAATGGTTATGAAAATCTGCACGATTCAGCAAATTTTGCGAAGTCGTTTTTCACCGAAAATAATTTTAACATGACCAATAACTGTTAATAATACGAGAATAAAATACTGGAACTATTGCAAGAAAAATAGGCATAATGAAAACGAATGTTATAGAAAACAAGAGTTATGTTAATCGTAATAATGACTATAGAAATAATTAGGGCCTGGATTTATATACATTTACATGTTTTTTCTAAACAGTCCAAAAAATAGCTAGGTAAGCTACAGGTTTAAATTATAATCAATAGATCCGAAATACAAAGTTTTATTTTGCATATTTTTAAATATTTTGACATGTACAGTATATTTCTGTATTTTACGATTTTTTATTGCATATAAACGGGTTTTTAAAAGCATTATTTATAATATTTTGCTTATATTAATTAAAATAACATATTTATAGTCCCTGTAATTTGACAATATCGTTTTCTTATCTTATATGAAACCTAACGGGACAAGTAATCTGTAATTTAGTAGGTTTTCGTGAATCATACATTAATCGTGTTGATCGTGATCCGAATGTGAGTAATTTTCATTCGATTTAATTTATTTATACTTAAAATGTTGAAAATTGGCACAACTACGTCTAGTAGGCTAAACAAATTTGTTGTCGAATATAAAGATATTTTTTTCTTCAGATTACTTAGTTCTGTTAGTTTAATATTTTGCATATTTTTTATTTTTCAGGTAAGGCTCGGAGTCAGGGGGAAGCAAAAATGGGTATTTGTCCAGGGTCTCACATTTAAAATTTTCATGGAAAAATATTTTGTACGGAAATTTCATAAAATAAAACGTAAAGTCTGTGGATCGCCTAGCGAGTGCGATTTCTAGAGAAATCCACTGTCGTATAATAAAAAACCAATTAACAAAACAACAATATTATATTTAATACGTCATGTATGTATCAACGATCCGCACGGCACGCCGCACAGGAAACCAGGAAATTTATTTTATCGCCTTACTTTAATTTAATCAGTCATTATCCGATATCGCGTGCAGCTGTCACCAAGTCTGATTACATGTTATCGCCTTAGATGACTATTGTTATGGGTAAAATAAGTCTTGTCCAGGGCCTCGCAAAAGGTAACGCTAGCCCTGTTTCAGGTCATATTCTTATAAAATATGAGCATATATGCATATTTTATAGTGCATATTTCTGAAGTTTTTAGAGCATATAAATCCGGGCCCTAGAAATAATAATCAGAATAATTCGGAAAACGAGTCGGGGTCGAATGTGGCTCGCGGGAACTAACTTCGGACGAAACAAATGTTGTTATCACGTCGTATCAACAATAAGAATTAATCCCATAGAATCAGTGGCGTAGCAACCAAACGTTGCGCCTGGGGCGAAAATTCAAAATGCGCCCTTTTGTATTTTTAATTTAAAAATATTATGCACATTAGATATTATTTTCAATGATTGCTTTAATAATTATGAAAGATGTTAAAGATTTTGTAACTGACATCGACCGTTGTAATATTTAACATTAAATACAAGATTTTCATTTTTATGCCCGAGTCGTAGGCACCTTTCGCAACCCTCTTTATACGGCCCTGTATAGAATGTAATTCAGCTGTTAGTAAAACAACCATTTTTAATTACTTAAAAATACTGGTAGTGTATAGTAATTGGCATCCTTTAGAAAAGTGTGAACTTATTTGTTTCCATGATATTTCAGACAAACATTGTCGAAACTTGTATTATTATTTTCAAAGATTAAACAAATTTTTATCAGTCTTATCTTATGATCATTATGTATAAAAATTTTTAATACTTTTTTTTATTTATCATCAACTATTAAATAACCGAAAATTATAGTTATTGGCACCTACAACTGTGTTCAGGGCTTATTCTAAAGCGCAGTTGGGCTTATTTTGTATATTTGGAAAAGGTAAATGCGCACTAGAAAATAAACTTTTGTTGCGTAATTGATTTTTAATTCAATGTTGTTTAGTGTTATTTTATACATTAGATTATGATTTATAAACAAAGTAAAAAGGAAATTTATTAAAAAATATTAAAAAAAAATATTTTGAACACGAATGTAAATTGTTTTATATCTTTTAAATACATTACATTTTAAATTACTTCACATAGGTAGAACCTACACATTTTATCATTTTTAACTAAAATTTGACAGTATATTTTGAGATCATAGTTCTATTTTGATAGGCTTATTTAAACAAAATGCGTAGTTGATAAAAATCCTTAGAATAATCCCTGACTGTGTTATTGGTTTTATAATTTCTGTTATTGGCATCCTCTTAAATTATAAATGTAATTTAATATTTTTACCAATACATTTGGTTAAACTTTGATAAAACTACCTACTTATACTATTTTATAGATATATAGTAGGTACTACTTAGGTATAATGAACAATAATTAAAAACATATCTATCACAGCACCAAATCAAATTTAAATTATACCTAATTGTAGAAAATTAACATATTTAGTTTATGATTCTAAAAATAAAATAACTAATTAATTAATTAATTATATTATAAAGATATTTTATAGTATATTATTTAATTATATGCTTCATATATGTAACTCATTCTAAAAAATCATTACATTTTTTTTAATCACTATATATAGTACTGTCATACAGATTGGAGTCAAATAGATACCTATTACAAAAAAATATAATTAGTACTAAACAACTAAAATAGGCAGGTACCTATTATTATGCTGGTAACTAATTATTTATTTACAGTATTTGACTATAATAAGAAGAAATAATAAAGTTAATTTCAAAGTTTAAAATTTTACTATCACTTATTTTAGTCTTAACATTTTCTCAAATTTAATAGTTGATCTCGATACGTTAAAACTTTTTTGCTGCAATTTTTTGACATGCCTTCATGGACTTGTTACGGATATACATAAATGTGGGTCCTTGCGACTTTTACTACATAGGAGGGACCACATAAAACATAAATAATGGAAATCAAATGAACATTATAGAAAGGAATAATTAAGACCAGAGGGTAACACAAACACATACTATATATGAGTTGTGAAGCTATATTTCAAAGTATTATAATGAAGGCAATTAATAACAATGCACAACAAAATATGGGATATGAGCGAAAGGTAATATTATTGAGGTCAACCATTAAAATACCAAATTTAGCAATTCTTTTTAATAATAATTGTAAATAACTTATTCCATAGAGATGCGCGACTGATTCCACGAAACTTGAGTAATTAGCACCTCAGGGTAGTAACAATAATTGGGAATAACCTTGTTCCAAAGTACTATGTGGCCAATTTCCACGAGACCTGAGTATATAAGGGGGTTGGGAATAGACCAATATTCAGATGTGTTTAAGACGTGTATTAGCGAGCACATTTACGCCAGTATATTTGTTAATTAAACGTGTACTTATAAATATTTCAATAAATAGTTTAAATTAGTTTAAGTATTTTTTTTATTGGAATTATCCCAAAACATCTTCATCTTTACGGTCTAACTGTCGCACGCAACAGACTACTGCTTCAACAGAAGCAGTCAAATTGGACTGAAAAATTTTTTTCCATTTTTTTGGCATTTCTATAAATTAGAATAAATCATTAGTTAGCATATTTGTTCCAACACATAGATAATTATTATATTTTAATAATGTTATGATATTAATTTACAAATTTTCACACATTTTTCATATTTTATTATTCTTTAGTTTGCCAATTCAAAATGTATTCCAAAATTAATTGATTATTTCAGAAAGAGCTGTGTAAGATGCTGATTTTTTTTATATAATTTGTTTTATTTGAATTTATTGGTTAGGTTAGGTTTTGTTTAACAAATTATATTACTGAATATTAAAAAATGCTACTAGTAATTTGTCAAGAAAAAAACATTTATTCATTTTAATTATTTCAATTTTAAATATTTGTCAAAAAAAAAAATATTTATGATTTATGTATGTATGTTAAAAATGAAGTTTTTGTGCATTTATTGATGTAATTTTAATAGATGTACTCTTAAAATTACAACTGTTTGTATAAGATTTTCAAGATTAAATATAAACCAATTATATTTTCAATACAATAGGAAAAATATTTTTTTAAGGAATACTTTAATTGAAAATAGACAATGAATAAAGATTCATCAGTAAAACTAATTAAGTATAACATTAAAAATAAAAAATTAAATAAATATTCGTTGTTTGTTATCATTACTAATTATTCATTACATATTAACACATAATATAGGTTATATAGGCGCAACTAGGGGGGACTTAGCCCCCTATAAATATTCCATGTCATACATGACATACAGCATACTTAACTCATAGTAGTATCACATACAAAAAAAGACACATTGCAGTAAATTCAATTTGGCTCAGAATCTAAAATATATTAACATGGTATATAAGAGTAGGAGTAATCTACAAGTTATTTTAAGGTTTGGTAGGAGGGCTGTAGCCCCCCTAGATTTTTTACCTTAGTCGCGCCTATAGTAAGTTACATTTACTAGCATGAAAAATGAATATCAAATTTCTGAGTAAAAATAAGGCTATGTTTTGACAATTATATTTATAGTAAAAATGTAGAACATTTGTATATATTTTTGAATATTTGTGAATATACACATGATATGATGACAAATTATAAATACTGATAAACAAAAATGACTATACTATAAATATATAAATAATTTATTATTAAAAATAATAAAATGTCATTACAGTTATTTTAATTATATAATTAAATTATTTTTTTTATGTGATAAATCTAAAATATATAATATTATAATACTACATTTCTTGTTTCAAAATAAGGCACAGTATGAATAAAAATAACTTTTAAAAAATGGACGGATTACAATAATTATCAAATTAGATCCATAAGTTAAAATGCTTACAGAATAATGGCAGTCTTAAAAAGTGGTTTGTTATTGTTTTTTTAAATTAATAAAGAAAACGTTGAAAAAAAAATATATTTATGTAGAAAGTAATAATACAAAAATGCTTAATGATTAAAAGTTGCAAATACGTGAGAAGTCCATTAGAATATGAGAAGTTCAATGTTAGGAGATTGCATTTCGTAGATCACTCGATATTGTGTATAAACACATAACCAGCAATAAAACTAAAAGTAAAATTAATTAATTTGATAATAAAATGTATTTATAATTGCAGGCATTATTATGTAAACTTACTTGCATAGCAGCAACGATCCAATAAATGACTGCAGCACATACCATGTGAATCTATTATAACAAAATTCATGTTGATATTAGTAATTTAAAAGCTTTTATGGTATTTTCTTTTTGTATGAGGTATTTCAATGAAAGTATTCATATAGCAGCATGCATTAATAAAGATGAAAAAATATAATATTATTACTGTAACTTATATTAATTAAAATTAAATTTCAAAAAATGAATTATGCCTTAGATTGTGAAAATTAAACAGTGTAATTTTTTTTGATTTTAACTATATTAATATTATTATTTTATTAAAATTAAAGTATTATAAAAATAACTTACATAAATATAATACCCGTACAGCAACCAAATGGACCAAACTAGCAAAAAAATGACAACAAAACCCATACCAATTAACCATGGTAATAAAAATCCTCGGAGATTGTTGGTTAAGCCTTTCAGTAGCAACAGTGATGAACCAATCATATAGGCGAAAAACATTAAAGTGTAAACCACATAATAATTTAGTTCTAGAAAAAGAAAATAGTTAAAAAATTTATATCATTATTCTAAATATTATAAATTTATAAATGCAATAATATAACATTTACTTAAATATTAAATTGTTAAATACACCTCTGAAATATTTGTTTAAAACTACTTATTATTCATACATTTAAGTAATTTAATTTTAAAATAATAAAATAAATTGTGGTAGAATTCAGAGTACACAACATAGCCAACTATGAGATGTAAAAATATTTGTTTTTATTTGTTTTAACTTACCACGTAAATTTGTTTCAAAAAATGGATTATACATTTGAGTTGATTCACCGCCATTTTGCATATGTACAATTAGTGCCATCAAAAAAATGGATATTGCCTATACATAAAAAAAAATTGAATTACTTATTAAATATAACAGTAAAGTGAAAAAAATAATAAGTATTGATTTACAATTGTGTAGGCAGCTACAAATTTGCATCCAGTTTTCACATCAGGATATACAATAATTGGTGTCCAAAAGGTTTTTAACAGAGTCATTATTACTTAGGATTTGTTTTAAAACCAATAAAATCTATAAAAATAATTTTGTATAGTTCAATGAGTATAATACTTTAAAATATTAAAACCATTTATAAATGTTAATTTTATTTTCTGACTTTCAATAACTGAAATATAATTATATAATTATTATATAAATTAAAATATTATTATAATTATTACATCTAGACAGTAAATATTCTATGAAATTTCACATAACTTAGCAAGCCCAATAAAATTTAAATCAAATAATAGTTATGAAATAACATTAAGTATATTACGTAAATAATTAAAAATATATAGAATGTAACAATTTTATTACTCCTAGTTGATTTTGAATGTATTAACCATGAAACTGATGAAATAGTTGCGATAACAACAATAATTATGTAAGAAAAAAATATTAATTACAATTGTATAGGAAAAGTATAAGTATAATATATTTAGTTTGACCAATTATAGATTAACTAAAGAACTAAGAACATCGTACAACCATAAATTCTACTAAACTGGGTAGATAAGATGTGAATATACTTGACTAAACTGCTATCATGGCCGGTTGGACCGTTTTTGTCCAATGGTACCTGGTAAAACAGTTGTAGATCGGATGAATGATTCAATAAAATTCTTACCAATTGGATCAATTAAATCCCTATCTACTGCAAGTCATATTGAAATAACGGGAAATCTATTAAGCTATAACTTAGGGTTGATCGAACTTTTTGTTTAAGGTAAACTATGTGCCATCATAGAAAACTATAAAAAACCCTGTTGTTGACTTTGGAAATCAAACGGATTATTAAACATACAAATAATTTAATATCAAGTCGACATACAGGAAAAGGATAGTGTGCATGCAGTCCGTCGTCGTACGATACGTATGGTTAACGAATGACGACGGTACGAACGTAAAAAAATGTGATAACTTGAAAAACATTCCACACACACTTAAACATGCGCGCGCCAACGAATTCCTTGACACAAAACAACCGCGCCCGGATGCGACGACCGGGCGCGATCGAAGAGACGAAAACCCATCGCGAAAAAATATACTTACCGAGGAGTCTCCGGTGCTGTTTGCCTTCTCGGACGACGGTTTTTGTCACTCGAACGTCGACCGCTGTCTGCAGGGGGGGAGGGGGTTCAGCAGCTGCTGTTGTCGTCGTCACGGAACAGTATTCGCTGACCGATGTCTGGGCGCAGGTGATGCTCGTCCGCGCGTTTCGTGTACACTGAGGGGATACGATGGTTATTAAATGAAACGTTATGAAATTACAATATCGCGTTACCACCGAGGGAGGAACGGAATGCCGAGTGATAAGCGTTATCGCGGGCGTGTCGCACTTGTTGCTGCCAATGAGCTCCTATATTGTTATTGTCGTGGTGCGCGCGCGCAACGCAATCGTCCTCTTCACGTCGTCCGGAGGTCCGCGGGAGGGGAATGGTTCAGACTGCGGTGGCATGTCATACTTGAGTGCGGTGCGTGCACATGTCACGGACCCTCGACTGACGAGTAAGGGGAACGGGGGAAACGGTATTTCGGCAAAATATAAGCAGGTGGACGACGTTGTTTTACTTATACCCGATTACATTTCTCTGCTCGATTTAAATTTCAATAATAATTTATACTTGATGGTACCGATTTGTTGTTGGCTTTACTTTTTTAGAATATCAATTCTTCAATTCGCATGTAATTCAATTTAGTTCGAACGGTGAGAAATCAAATTTCAACAAAATATAGATAGTAGGTTGGGTACCACTGATGTGTGTCTTAGAATGGAACTTACACGGAATTTTAATATAGGTATGCATTACCGTTATGTTATACTCGTATATAAGCAGCTTTGTAAAAGATACTTTTTAAAAGTATTCAAATACAAACATAGAGGATACCGGTTTTCAAACGTACTTAAAATACGTGTTTGTAAGAAAAGTATTCAAGTACAAATACAGATACTTCAAAAAAGTATTCATAGATACTTTCAAATACTTAAAAAATTTCATATCGTTGTTTAACTTATAATCAGAAAAAAAATGTAAAATAATTTTAAAAATATATTCATGTCTTACATGGCTGCAACGAATAAAATGGTTCTGAGTTCTCATAGGCCATAAATTAGAATTAAAATGTAATTGGAAAATAAAAATAAATCAAATTGCCAATTTTGTTATAAAATTGTTAATTGTTATGGGTAGTCATACAGTATACTATATTTTTTAGTCATAATAGTGTATAATTACAAATTAAGGAAATTCAATCTGTGGTATATTGTTGTAAACTATATATAGAGTTCATAGGTTCTGGTATTTATTGTGGAATTGGCTGGAATAGGTCTGTACGGAAATTGTTTATTATATGTCTAGGGATGCACATAATATCGATATTATTCTAATATCAATATATTATAAATTGATAAAAATAATTATATTGATAATTATCTTTCGATATTTTACTGATATCATGAATTATATATTATATTATATTATGAAATATTATATTATTATAAATTATTATCAATAATATATTGTTATAATATATTATGAATTGACGATAATAATTATATCAATATTTTTTTTAAATAACATAATTATCGTTTATTATATTTAAACAGGGTTGTATTTTAAATGTTGACACCCCCGTGCATTTAATTTATGCCACCCCTCTCCCTCCTCAAATTAACATTATTTGTAGGTATAAAATTACACTAATTATTTCATCCGTGATCGAAATTCTTTAATATTTTCTATACATTAATGTATTTAATGTTCATAGTATGTATTTCAATATTAAAATCGAACTTGTCAATTAATAAATGAAAATAGATACATCGATTTTTGAAATATTTTGCGCATCCCTAAATAAGCCACTTTATTATACTTGAGCAACACGGATAAATAATTGATGAATCTTATTAATATAATATTAATAAATGAAAAGCATAAGAACATACCAAGACAAGTATGCGTTTCTGTGTTTGGAAAAATAAACCATTAAAAACGTTACTTCGGGTACACCATGTAGAGATTTTTTCTTTGTACCCATAAATTACCTTGGATTATAATTTACCAACCCAAGACCAATACTATAAAACAGTGTATGCAAGGCCGGCACTAGGTTTTGTGAGACCCTAGATAAAATATTTCGGAGTGCTCTACAAACAGCTTTTACAAAATAATAGTGAAAACCAAAAAGATACATTTCACTTTAAATTTATAAAATGATCTTTGTTGTTGACCATTTGTATTTTTTTTAATCTTATGAAGAACTTAACAAGCCACAAGTTTATGTGCATGTAATTAATAATGTTTCAATAAGTTGTATGGTTAAATGTTTGATAAAAACTGAAACCTCAAACTTTTTTAGTATTCCATTTAGTTTTTCTTCAGTATTTCGCGTTTCAGTGTGGGTTTAGGTTATCAGACCGGAGCAAATAAAAATAAAAATCTTGAATTATGACCGCTACCACCTAAAAGACATATTGGTGTTTTATTTTGCTTGTAAATCATATTAAAATTTACTATTTATGAATAAAATATGATTATTTAAGTATACGAAGGTACATTAATGTTATTTAATATTATCATTTTTATGAACAAAATTTGGCCATCTCACAAAAATAGTATCAGTTCTTAGATATTATTTGTAATTAAAATATTAATAATTTGTGTGCTAATTGGAAATATACCATTTCTGTTCAAAATTGTTCACCTTAGTCTTCTTCAAAATAAAAAATAAAAAATGTTGTCAATGAAATTTTAATTTGCATTTTCCAATTTCAATTGCTATTTATAGTAGAGTTTATTGTGGTGTTCTTAAGCGTATATTGAAGTTCTAAAAATGTATTTCATTAATGCTATTACTTCTGAGCCTTGGTTATAAGATATTCATGTGATAACAAATTATACATTTTTAAGAAGAGCCAACTATTAAATATCTTAACATTTTTGGAGTAAATACAATGTATTATAATATAACATATATTATCAATGGAGTAATAATTATAATTGATAATTTTTGTATATACGAGTATATAACAAGACAAGCAGCGCGGCGCTTCATATAGGCAATTTAAGTGTTTTCTTAAAATTCTATTTAATATTCCATCATTGATGAAGAATTTCTAATACTATATAGTTTATATTTTCTCCTTAATCATAACATTTATATTAATCATATTATATCAATTAAAAAATTGATATTTAGTAAAATTTATATTTACTCGTATGTTCGATAAAACTTTTTTACAGATATCTATACAATTATTTCTCACATAGAATTAATTTCTACACAGATAACAAATTCTTTTATTAGCTATTAATAGAAATAATGAAAACCATATTAATGTTATAAACAGGTAAAAATAAATATTTTTGATTAAGAAAATTAAAAATGTCGGGTAGTTTCTAAAGCCGAATCTTTCTTTAATTTACAATTAAATTACAATTTTATATTTTTAATATGCGAGTACATTGTACAAAATACTAAAACCGTAGATTTTATTATTTAAATAATAGTTTTAATAACATTTTCTGACGTTATAAAAGTCGAATCCCATTCATTTTTCGACTATTTACCAATTTAGTTAATATTTTATTTAATATATTTAAAACAACAGTAAAAAATGAATTCTGTAAGTAAATTTAAAAGTAGTAATAAAATGTTGTTCGTTGTGGAGTCACGAAAACGGCTACTTACGTAAACAAGCATTTAATGCTAACTTATTCAGAATACTGAAAAAGTCTAAGATTTAGTTTTAAATAAATTTCCAGAATATAAGCGCTTATCTTTATTTATAGATTGCATAAGACGTTGCCTAAAAATAAATTGTTATAAATTTAGTATGTAGCACGAAAAATTGCAAATTTTAGGTTTTGGAGTTGATCACCTAGACAAAAATATTATTATGAATACAAATAAACAACAAACATTGTCAAATCAAAATAAAATAATATTAAAAATAATATATTAAAATATTTTATATTAAGTAGGTATACTATTATATTACTTTATATTTAAACTTTGTTTAAATATCCTATTTATTTCATATAGTACTGATATATAGTATCATATAGCATTCATTATAAACTTACTATTGTAAACCAATAATTATAATTTTCTGATTTGTAATTTGATCTTATCAATCGATAATGGTAGGTATACCGATATAATTATAGCGTTGCTATTGTTACTTATGAAATAAATAAATAATGTATAAACATTTTATAAAGTTATTTTCTAGGTTTAGATATTAATTCTATACACTATTTATTGGTTAATGATATGAATAAAATATCTATAAAAAACAAATTATTTAAAATATTTATAATTGCATAGTTATTATAATTTGAAAAAAAATATTCATATGACATATCGTAATAATCAAAACTCGTAATAATAATATAATATTAATACAGAATAATTTCATTAATTATTTTCATGAGACGTAACTTTTTACATCACTATGCATATTTTTTATAAATTTGATCGATTCATAGCACAAAAAGGTTGTAAATACCTAGTAATGATTTTTGTAATTTTTAATACATTTTGCATTTACAACATTTATGTGCTGTGTCATCAATTTAAATTGATGTAGTATACATTTATTAGTTTTATGCTCAGTTTTGCAGTTATCTTTTAGTTATGTTTGATAACCTTGACGTTTTATTGCTTTAGCAATGTTAATTATTTGATCAATAGCCAATCAGTAATTTATAAATTCATAAATTTGTATTTAAATGTATTGGTTTTATCATGAGGTGTTTTTTTTGTGTCTATATTAACAATTTCGACTAAAGTCACTATATTATTTTTACAGAAAGATTTCACTAATCATCGTAACTATGAGAAATTTCTCATAATTTCTTTGAATTTCTAATTGTAAATGATGTTTAATTGGAACTTTGAAGGGAGTTATTTTACGTATTTCCAAACACTTTCCTTAATATTTGCGAAAAACTGACGAATAGTTATAACTTTAAACATAGCGCACATATGTCGTTAATGATAAAGCTATTAAAATAACAAAAATACATTATATACTTGTAACATTTTTGTGCTATATTAACGATCAAATTGAGAAAAAAAATTGCATAGAGACATATTCGTCCTGCGAAGGTTTATAATGAGGTTATTCTGTATTAATATTATATAATTACGAGTATATGTCAAATAATTACTGGGAAAATTTAAAAAGTTTTATAAATTTTACCAAATAAAATTTTGACTACATCGAATAATTCAACGAATTTCCATTAAACGATAATAGTTATTAAGTTTTTGTCCTATAAATATTAATCGAAGCAACTCGAAGCAACTAGGACTCATATTAGT